AAAGCAGTGGGAGTGCGTCGTGAGGGAAAGGAAAGCAAAAGTAAGTTCCTCCCAAAGTATGCACCGCCAGGGCCTACTACTCCTAAATATCCTTGTCAAGAGAAAACATACCTCGGCCACTCTGTGAGCACAACTTCTTTGAATTCTCTTGTTGTTAGGAACCTCTTGGACAATGGCAACGGACAAAAGAAGAGTGGGCAGTGTTTCCTCAAGATCAAGATCAATATTAATTCACCTCAAGATTCACATATTAATTATCCTCAAGTTCAAAAAAATTATCAACTCATAATTTTATTTTGTTTCATGTTTTTTTTCTTTTCTTTTCTTTTCTTCTCCTTGCTTTTCTTTTCTTTTTTTTTGTGCTTTTTTTCATTTCTCTTTTGTGTATAATTTTCTTTAGGAAGCGTGCTTACATTACATTTCATTTATTTTCAATTTCATATTTTCCTTTTTTATTTCCTTGGTCTTTAGAGGGGCGTGTTGAACCTTTTTATAGGAGGGGAGACTGTAAGACCTACGGTCATTACACAGACATAACTCACCAATCACTTAAATATTAACACTTATACTTAAAATGATTTCTCATATATATTATTGTTCTCAATTCTACGCTTGGTTCCTTAGCGATTCGGGACTGACTTCCCACCCCTTATCCTTCGGAACCAGGTAAGCGTTCATATTCTTTCTAGTGTTATCATTCTTTTCTTTTGATGCTTGTAGAGTGTTAGAGCGATTCGGGACTGACTTCCCACCCCTTATCCTTCGGAACCAGTCTCCTATACTGGGTATTCCGTTGATTTGAAATATAAGTCTCTCGGGTTCTAGAAACCTGTCCCGCTGTGTGTTCCACGGCGCTCTCTTTGTGCATTCCCGGTGAAGGTTCTAAGGAACCTTACACTGCCACTTGGAGTTCCCTCAATACCATTGCCAATGAGCCCAAGAATTGGCTGAACCTGACACTCAAAAGATCCCAAACTGTGCATCCCAGTCAAAGCAATCCCAATTTCTCCATGCAGTAGGTGTGTTAACCCCCAACACGCTTGTTTTCATAGGTATGGTTTTTGATCATTCTCCTCCAGATTTAAAATCACTGAGTCATGTCATCTTACCTATTAATTGATCTTACAGATGAGAGCGCTTTGCAGGGGAGGTTTCCCTGGTGTAAGTTTGGCCATGCAGAACAAGGACACCACACTGATCTAAAGTTCACCAAGGTGTAAGCGCTGTGATACAACAAACAGTGGTGATCTTCAATACCATCATTAGCTCAAGCCTGATAATTCATTTCATTGTAGGCCAGATACCAGCAAAGAGGAGGAAATAATCCCAGGTGGAGGTGATAAATGCAGGGATAGTCTTCCAGGTACAGCAGGAGATGGAAGTGGGTCAATATCTGGTTTGATGGAACCAGGAATGATGGAATTGGAGAAAGCACCCAAGGGAAAGTGTTGACCATAGTAGTTGTGATGGATTACAGTCCCAGTCAAAGAGGTGGAGGTGTTGGGGTCAGGGGGAATCAATCCTAAGAGGGTGGGTTTTGCTTTCTCATAGTTGGCAACAGGAATCCAATCAAAACCAGGGCGAGTCATTGGTGGGCTCGCCTCATCAGCCTGGTGTATCCCATCAGCCTGCACATATCATATGTAATAGGTATTATGGATCAATTTAAAAAACATACAATTTGGAAAAAGCTTAAACATAAGAAACACTGATATATCCAGTCCTTGGCAGATGTGCAAATGTGTGCAGTACAACAGAGGGATTCCCCCAAGAATCTTGGGATTTGGCACAACAGTGACATTATCCCCTTCCTTCAAGTCTTTTGCAAACTGTTTCATCAAAGTGCGAAGATTATGTCTTCCGGTGCTAAGGATGCCAGACTGGCCAAAAGAAGTGTACAAGGGTCTGTTCAAAAGACTGCGGAGGAGAATCCAAGGGAGATTGTTGAACTGCTACAGAAACATCAGTCTTGTGACCATCTGACCCATTGCCTTTGCAAGTCATTTGAGCCACACTCAGGAGTAGTTGCATTGTGTTGGCTGTCTTTTGGAGACCTTTGCGCAGTATTTGACAACACATGGTTGTTGAAGCCGGTGCAGTCAGGTCAGAATGAATAAAAGATGTAAAGGAGGGGGGAGTGCTGATGGAATTCTTGTTGGTGAGCGTTTGGTGAGCTGATCCATTGACAAAGACCTTCATTTTGATGCTACAAGTAGCCCAGGTTTGGTGACAAAAATCAGAAACCCCAGTAAGCTTGTTGTTGCAGGATTCAAAATTTGCCTTCTTGAAGGCATGAAAGGAGCAGTAGCTGGCGGGCAACATGATTTTGGTGGTTTTAGGAGCATAGTTGACGTATTTGGGCTTGTTGGAATTCCTGCTAATTGGTTGGGAGCCTCCCAGCATTATTTTGTGTCTTCTGCCAACCGGATTGGGGGTGTCAGATACCTGGGTTTGCCAGATGTTGAAGTAAGTTGACATGAAAAATGTGTTGCTTTTCTGGAAGATGTGTGATGGAGTGGAGCAGTGTTGGGATTGAATGTGTCTATAGGTTTGTCAAAAATGTCACAAGGAGGATTTAAAAGAGACCTGGAGTGATTAGCTGATTGTGCCAGTGAAAGCCTTGATGACTTGACAGTGTTCTTGGGCTCAGCTTCATCAGGAGGGTTGAGCTGGATTGCTGGTCTCTTAAAAGGAGGCAATTGGGTGAGTCCCATCAGTCAGCATCAAGGTCACTGAGGATGCACCAGCTGAGTGTAAGGTGGAGTGCAGTTCTCCACCTTCACTGTATCAAATCTAGGTGCAAGCTCACAAAGAGCAAGGATTATTCTAATCCCCTTGTATGAATTACTAATCCAGCCAATAATCAGAATCAAAGAAACAATTAACAATTGAGAGAAATAGAGAGATTCAGAAATAATAAGATAGAGAACCTCAAGAGAAAAGAGAAGAATCCAAAAGGGTGGATGTTTGATATCTAAATACTCAGTAGTACACTCTAAACCCATACCCATGATCACATCTGTAACATCCTCCCTTAAACTGAGCTTGCCAATTGGTAAGAAGAAGTGTTGACTACATGGGAGAAATATCTTCAGTGATCACTGTCATCAAAAGTCATAGCAAGAAAATCACAACTCATAATACCTTGAGCCAACATAGCCTGGTTGCTCTGAGTGAGACTCACACGGGACATGTTCTTGATTTGATTATTGGATGGTGTGCTTACATGAAAACCAAACAATTCCAAATCAGCAAGAGCCACCAAATCATTGAGATGAGGATCAATATAACAAAAACAAAGGGACATGAGAGGTTTTTTTTGGTTAACCATTTCAGATTTGTTCTTAGATAGTGGGATCTTGTATAGTTACACAAACATTGAGCTGATTCTTGGGGAAACCAAAGGAAATGCCAGCTTGTAATCCACAACCTGATCCCTTTGTCCCAGAGGGTGCTCTGATAAAATTGAACTGCATACAAACACATGGCAATGTCATAATGTGACACACAACAATACTCTGCTATGTGACAGACAAACCTAAGCCCTGACCAGTTGTGTAGTGGTCACTCTTCTACAAGAAAACCCTTCTCTGGTTTGTGTTGCAGAGGTTCTTCTATATATCAAAGCACTACAGGCATAGTTGCCACAGATGAAGACATTTGAGGAATCTGTGGATAGTGCAGTGGCCCCAAGGAAAAGTGCGTGCAAGGTGTGCTTCTGAGGCAAATCATAGTCATTGGATGACCTCTTTAGCAAATGTAACAAGTACATTCAACTCCCTCCAAACCCATACCATTCTATGGAAGCCTAAAACTATGGGTTTTATGGGTGTATGGTTTTGGAGGATCTCCCTCATAACCCACAGATTAAGGTTTGGCAGGCAAAGTATGGGTGAAGAGGGAGATAAAAAAATTAACAAGCCAATCAAAAAAATCATTTCTTCATATTCAACTTGGAATAGATTGCAGCAAAGTGGCACACAGTCTTAGATGATTGCAACCATTCCATTTGTACTTGAATTTCCCAACCAAAAGTTCAAGTCTCTTCAGCTCATCATTGTTGAGTTGACTGGCAGCCTTAGCTGCATTTTATTATGCTATGATCTTCCCCAAAACAACTCTTTATCTTTCCAGCACAGTCTATGAGCCTTGTATCTGTCTACAACAATTTCTTCCCTCCACTGATAGGTTGCTTGAGAGGCTTGAATCTTTTGTTATTCTCTGTTTGTAGGGCATTGAAACCTGTTTTGATATCTGACATGCTGAATTGCAAAAGGTCTTTTGGAAGCATTTTGAGACTGGCTATGCTGAAAAATACACAAGGATGCAGGTTTTTTTCAAGCTGTGTCAAATTTTGGTTATGGCTTTTGACCTAGGTTTACTGCAAAAAACCTATGGGTCATGGGAATAGTGCGAGGTATGGGTTTTGGGCCACTTTTCCCTGCCCATAAATTTTATGGACCCAAATTTCTATGGGTTAGCTGGAAGTATGGGATTAGAGGGATATGGATTTTGAGGGAGTTGACTGTATTTATGAAGTGTGAGAAATACAATCATGATATATGCATGTTGATTCTATCATCTATGTCTATGGAAGTTATTAATATTCAAGAGAGTGCACAGATTTTTGTGCTGGGCATGCAGACATAAAGTCTTATATTGTGCCACAGGGGTGGTATATTGATATGTATATAACAGTGCTGACATCATGAAGTTGAATCTGATTCTTGATGATCTACCCTAAAAAGGCTGGTGACCACCAAAGTTAAGCCCAGTTCCCGTCTACTACTGTCCCGAAATCAGGAAAGTCAAAAGTCTTGCCCGGGTCGCGAGAGGCTGAAAGATGCATGGGTTATTGATATCCGATGTTTCAGGGCCGGGGCTGAGAGTGAACTCGAAGTTGAAACCGATTCTCGTCTGACTCACCATCTCATCTTTAACTTATCGCATTGCCATCCATCCACAATATCAAACTACCATCTACTTTAGGATCTCACAAAATGAATCACAATTCAAAGAACCAATTCAAGATGGGTTCATCAATTCAAATTAGCTCACATGACAGAAAACCCTCGAAGAAATTCACGACTATCAATCAAAACAATCGAACTGGAAGTAGCACCACCACATTACTGAATAGTTTTCAAGATCAACTTAATATTAATAATGCGAATGGAAATCATCATTTACGCCCGAATCCAATGTACGTTGTTAGGTTCATTTTATACTCTTGCATCTTCAGGCTTGATACATTTATTTAATCATGTTTGAGTATACGAATGGGTTTATAGGTCCTTAGTCCCATCACCTTCAAGGGGAATGAGTCATGAACCGGAGCATTTACAAAAACTAGATCTCACAAATCACGACTTTCAACTAAGATACTTTGCCGAATGGATCCAACCCAAGATCTCAGCACATCGTCATTCGTTCCCTAATCAATTAGCTATCAACATCCAACGTTCTCGTTTCGTGCCTACTAATACACCCGACAATTCAATCACTGACCAACTTACAAGTCTTGGTACCCTGCTTCGAGAGATTCGGAAGCTTAGGGAAGGTATCCTTGCTAGTCATCGGACCGATGAGTTTGCGATCCAAAGTAAGATTGTCAACATTCGCTTCTCTGAGTCACCTGATCTGACTTATCATTGATATTGATTTGATCTGTTGGCAGTTTATGAACTGAGTGCTGAACTAGCGCTAGAATCATGTGATTTCCAACAACTCAACTCGCTTCTTCCTCATCTAATCTTTAAACTCTACAAATCTGTCCCTCTCTCTGCTTCAAGATCTCAGAATACTTCTACTTCAGATGATCAAGACCTACAAGATCAACAAGACCGTCGATTGGTCTTCACTTGCGTGCTTTTACTCATTCCGATCTGTACAAGATTATCTCTAGGACAATTCCTTCACACCTTTCAAGAGATTCCTTTACCTCATCATTCGATTTGTAATCCGTCTACTCATTCAACCCGAGTTGCTAATACGATCAAGATCTATACCTCACTCAACCGAAAGAATTGGGTCCAATTCAATCGAATCACCACACCTCTTCTATCCAACTTAACCAACCGACTTGAAACCCATCAAAATAGTCAAATAGATTGGGATTCAGTTTTACTCTTACACGCTCAGAAACTCGTTCGTGAACAAATCGTTTGGAATTCATTAAGACTTTCTCATTATTCGATTTCAGATTTGAATTATTTATTGAAATCTTTATCTTTTGATACTTCTCATCAATTAGAAGATTGGTTAAAACTTAATAATGTTTATCGATTTCAAAATGGTAAAATCAATTTTAAAACTTGATTTCGTTGTACAAGTTGCTTCCGGAAGCATTTGTACATATTCGAGTCATTTGATCCTTTTTTCTTTATATATGTATCTTTCATTGTACTTTCTCTGTACCCATGAAGAAGTGATTTGATTACAAAACTTCTTCATCAATTCCTCATCCATATCTTTCAACGGAACTTGTTTAATCTTCATTTGTAAAGTAATATCTTGAATTAATATTCTTTTTGTCGGAATCCGTCTGCGCTGCCCGCTGTCCCTCGAGTACGCCTTCCAGAAAGCGCACAGTTCAGTGATCAAATGACTGAATCATGCGAGAGCACTTCAACCCCGCATAAAGTGTAAAAAAACTATAATCGCAATAAATTTCCACTTCTGGTGAATGACATTATTACAATCTTTAAAGAAAATTATTATTCAAGTTTCCTACAGAATGATTCGATTAGTTTATGTATAAGAGTATGAAATCAATAAAAGAACAGATCAGACAGAAACAAATAAATAAGAGTACGTCGAGAGATAATCTAATTACAAACAAAGCAAAAATCTATTTTGGAAAGAAGTATATAAAACAATCCTAAGAAACACAGTTTGATTATTATTAGTTGAAGCTTCTTTACTATACAATTTGAATCAAGAGCAAAAAAAATTAAGCAACTCTTGTGATCTTCAATAGGTTTTCTTGACTAGATCTTTCGATCGAGCAATTGTGGGTATACCATAAACAATTATATATACATCTAGTAGTAATACAAACTTGGAAAAAGATGATCAATAGTGACGATCGTATGAACGTCTTTTAGATGGATCTGATAAGGTTTCGAATGCTTCTTGAAGCTGTAGACCACGCAATAAGAAATCAAAGAGAGGGAAATTACAGATTAGCTCTGAATAGATTAGATATGGAGATAGATCAAATGAGAGAGGGATAGAGGGAAAGAAACTCGAACCTGTTGAAACACGTTGGTCGCACCACCTTTGTCGGGATGTAGTCTTCGACACAACGCTCGATAAGATCGTTTGAGTTCAGACGGCGTAACTGTATGAGAAACCTCAAGGATCTATACTCAACGCAAAGAGATATCAGTTCCACGATCCACATATTTTAAAGGATGAAATCAAGAAAACATACAGCATAATATCCTTTAGGGTCCCTTGCTGAAACTTTAGGACGAGGTGGAGGTGCTTGACGAGGTGGACTAGATCGTCTCGAAGAGTTTCGCCCAGTACTAGAGTTTCGAGACGAGTTATTACATTCTCGTTCGACCTCTCTGATCACAGCCGCTACATCAATCTTCAACCCTGTAGCCCATTGATCTTCTTTTAACAGTTTTGATATCTTTTGATAATCTTGCTGAGCTAGTTTCGTGTTTGATGAAGCGTTGTTAAATCTAGCTTGAGAAAGAAGTGCTCTGATTACATAAGTTCGATATTCAGTTTCAAGCTGTTGCCGTCGTTCAAAGTTATAATCGAGATCTGCAAAGATATGACTAAGCATAGCCTGAAGTTTATGGTTCTGGATAGGTTGCTTTCGATTTGCTTGTTGTTGCTAAAGATGAAAAAGAAACAAATGAAGAAACGTCGTAGTTGAGATATAGTGATCTAATATATGGAAAGATGGAGTTCAGAATGTTGCACTTACAAATACGAGGGCCTCACAAACTATTAATCGAAGTTCAACACGAAAGAGACGTTCCATTTTATCAAAAGAGTGCTCGAGTAATTGCTCGGCAGATTTAATAACTTGATTATGATCAGCCCGATCCATATTTTTGATTCGTGTCCAAGCATTCTTCAACACTTGAGCCCGACTCCGAATTTGACTAAACATAAAGAAAAGAAAAGTTAAAGGATTGTCAACAAAAGCTTCATATGAATCGAATCTTTCAAGTCGAACAAAATCTGTCTTCAGACTTACCCCAAACTAGAGTCTTCATGAGAGGCGAGAGAGCGATCAAAGGACAAGACGGCTTGCTCAAATTTTGCTTGAGCAAAATGAATTAAACCTTGGACTCGCTCTCGATCATATTCAGGTAACTCTCCAGCTTGAGTGCATTGGCTGTCAAAAAGATTTAAATGCAAAAGCACCCCAAAATAAGTTCGTAGTTACTTTAAGACAAAAAGGGGATTGGAAAACCTTACAGGAAAATCTCATAAGCCCCACTTCCATCACCCATGCGAGCTTTAACCTCAGCCTTCCAACAGATCAAAACTTCTGGAAGTTTTTGAGGAGAATTTGAATTACTATGAACATAACCCCAACCCATCCACATTTTTTCAATTGAAGCAATCGCATCAGCCAACATAGTCCAATTAGCCAATAACTTTGATCTTTCTACACATCCGACTGCCTCTTTCAACATATTAATTCGACTGATCAAAGATGACATCTCAGGATAGAGTGGATGAAGATAATCAATAAAGACAGAAGAAGTCGGTTTACTAAGATGTTCAATAGCTTCGTTCGCTTCAATAGGTTTCAATAAAGCTAACTGACATTTCACCAATCTCAAGACTCGTTTACCTAATGTTGATCTTAATGAGTCAGACAACCAAACAGGTAAATGAGTGGATTTTAAAGATTGAAGTAGATCTGCCGCTGCTGGAGTGAATTCTTTGAGAGCCATATAGGCTGAGGCTCGATTAGCGAGTGAGGTGGTGATACCTGGATGAGCTTGTTGATGAGGTTGATATTCGACTGGGTAAGCTTGAATGGCTTTGGTATATAGCTGAACGGCACCCTTCAAAGAGATCCATAGGTTTCAATATAATGCAACAGGAGAAAATGAGAAAATGAGTTGATGAAATTGTAAACTTACGGTATAATTTTTTTCTTGATATAGATTGTTTCCAGCGACTCTGAATCGATCGGCTCTGCCTACTTTTTCAGCATATAGAGCTGAAGTTGGAACACCAGGTACGAAGTTTGGTAAATTTAATTCCATTGAAGCAGATCTACTTGAAATTGATTTAGATTGACTTTTGATTGAATTTCTAGCAGATGAAAGATGAGAATAAGGTTTGGTTCGATTAAGAGAAGAGGATTCAGGATCGGATGGGTGTTCGTAATTCGAAGATCTCGAACGTTTTGAACGTTGATCGGAATCAGGACTGGTTCCTCTTTGTCTTTTGTTTAGGTTTGAATGAGATGGATTGAGATCTTCTTCGATTTCCATTGGCTCTGGTTCTTGATTTGATTGATGATGGTGAGATGAATCTGGTTGATGTCGTCTACGAGAAGAAGAAGAAGAAGAGTTTGAATGATCTAATCTCATTCTTTTTGAAGGATGTGGTTGAGAGTGTTGGTAGGTTAGTTCGATTTCTGGAACTGATGAACTTGATTTCTTTCTAGAATGTTTGAGTCTGATTTGATGAGTCATTCTTGAGATGAGATGAGATGAGATGAGATATCGCAAATGGGTATATTGGATGCTGGTAAATGGTAAGTACTTTCTTGCAATTTTCTTATTTCGTTTGACAATTGATTATGTAAACCGGATTAAGTATACTTAGCCACTTAAGTCTTTACTGCTTGATCCAGTCTAAACTGAAAATCAGAAACCACTTTGGCAACTGAACCATCCTCTCACTGTTAACTGAAAATTACTTTCCAACTTCATCATCATCATCAAATAAACCATCTTCCTGCGCTTGCGTGTTGCGTATTGCAGGTTTCAGGTTGAGCTTCATTCCAACTTACAATTCAAAAATAATTACCAAAATTGTCAGTAGAGTAAACCAATCATCAATTGCACCCCCGCAAAATCGAAATTTGAGTCTTCGACTTAAAGATGCCACACTTAACATCAATGTTAGGCCACAATACATAGACAGGCAAAATCCTTAGATTTGGCTTAATCTAGATATATCCAAGCGAAGTCGCAAAATGTAATTTTTTTTTTTTGGGATCTCCGAGCTTCGGACCCAGGGCTTAAGGCCTAAGCTAAGTACTTAGTTAGGGGTTTAGGGCATACTTAAGTACTTAAAGCTATGTCCTTAAGCTGCTATGGTGCCTACTGTATGTTGCTAGGTATCTTATGCACTTAGATACATAGGCTGGTGTTGGCTCAGCATTTTGCTCGACTTTGGACGTTCGATCACCTTGCTTGAGACGTATCATTGCAAGGCACATTGATCCTTGACCAACAAGAGAGAGAGAGAGAGAGAGAAAAACCACCTACCTAAATTCGCAACTTCTTGTATTGTTGAATGATATTTACTGTCGTGGCTGTGGAGCGATGACATCGACTCTCAATGCGGCATTCCTTGGAACACATTGATGGGAAGAATACAACTTCACAACCGTGGCAGCATCAACACTGTTGTATCCTTGCCTGAAATCAACTATGTGTCAGTAGGAACAAGCCTAGTCAGAAAGGAAGAGAACCTACGCATATGCTGAATGCTGCCTATCGATCTTTCAAAAGTATCTCCGGATGGTCAAAACTGGGCATGACTTCCGTGATTTCTCGAATAGGTTCTTGGAATCTGCAAAACCTTTGCATTCCCGAGAGTGCTTTCGATATTCTAAAGAACAATGTAATGTTAGCCCAGCTTCCAGCTCCAACCCCTAAGCCAACCCCTAACCCTAACCCTACGCACATTTTTTTCTCAAATCTCAAAGATTTCGGACCCGGGACCTATGCGGGGGGGACCTGTTACACATTCTTGACTTTACCCACTGTATATCAGGAGGAAACCATACATTAAACCATCCAATTTCCAAACCTATCCAAAGTCAACAAACAGGGAGGTACGCATATGTCAAGTAGGAATTTCTTCTTGATACATAATTATCCTCAGGATTTACCAAAAAGAGCCCCCAAAGATAGACCTTGAGGGGCTTGCATATCATCTCTGACACACCACTAAACCAATCACGTTTACAAAAAAATATGGTCTTACGGTTGCCTTTTAGACCTTCACAACCATCTTCATTCTTATTACTGAACAAAAGAGCCGTATTCCAAAAGGATCCCACTAAATCTAGCCCGGTGTCCGATATCCGGCGCCCCATATCGGTTCGGACACCGGGCTCTGAGCATATTAACGCCCTTATAAAAGATTGGTAGGGCGCAAAGGGGGGGGCTCATCGTTTTACACCCCCCCAAACCATCAAAACCACCTTATATGCCCCAAAAACGACCGCCAGACAATGGCGGTGGGGACCCGGATCCCCATCCCTCAAAAAACCCGGCCAGAACTTCGAACGAAGTGGATTCGATGATGAGCGAGATCAATTCTTTCTCATCAGGTATTCCAACAACTAACAATGGATTAGTCCAACTCATGCTCAAGATGATGGAAACGATCAACCAGTTGAACAATACGATCAACGAAATGCGTGAAGAAATCCGAATGCTTAAAAACAAACGCCAGCCTGCCCCAGCTAAAACGCCTCCGTCTACGACCCCACAACCTATACCACCTAGACCTACTGCTTGGATGAACCCATACCCAAAGAAGACCACAAATATGACCCAAACCCCGAAGGCCCCTCCAAAGAACTCAGAGATCCACAAATTCAAAGCTGCTACACTGATCATGCACGTTAAAAAAGACTCAGAGCCATTCAAAGGCCTTTCAAACTTAACGATTGTGGAAAAAATCAACACGGCATTAGAATCGATCAATGCAAAAGTCAATGACACCCCTGTTAGAATCAAGTGCGCGGCGCTCATGAAATCGGGAGATGTCCTAATGACTATGGATAACCGGCTGATGAAGAACTGGCTCTTGGAGAACAAGCACCGATGGACGAAACTAGCCCATAACGATTTCAAAACAACTCAAACCCGCTACCCCATCCTTTTCAACTATGTACCGGCTGAGATCGACGTACAACATTCAAGCTTTCTCATCAAATTAAGTGAACAAAACGATATTCCTCTCGAAGCGCTACACTCAGCTAGGTGGATCAAAAACCCAGAAGACACAAAGAAGAAACACGGTACAGTTGTAATCAACTTGGTCGATAAATCACTTTCACAAAAGATAGAAAAAGGTGGATTGAACTGTGATGGAAACAGGTTAAAAAGCAAGAATTATGTACAAGGGCCTACTATGTGCTTTAATTGTCTAGATTTAAATCATACTCACTCATCTTGCAAATTCACTGCTCATTGTGCTAAGTGTGGTGACCCACATAACTCGAAAGACTGTGCTAACAACGATGTTAGCCAGAACTGTGCCCGATGCGTCAATTTTGATGCACAAAGAACTAATTCTCAAATTGATAGATTTCTCCCCAAATATGCCCATTCCCCCAAAAGCTTAACATGCCCGCTGAGGAACACTCGCTTTCAAATTACTAAACCAATAATAACAGAAGATGAGTCATAAAAGCCCTCAAGTAACCCCAACCCCAGCACCAATGGACGACAAGCCAACACAAGACCTTAATTCATCAGACTTACCAACTCAATTTAATAACTTTTCTATTCTTCATTTCAACTGTAATAAATCCTCTCATGTTACCCTAGAAGTGCTTACTCAAACTCAGTACACTGTACTTGCTTTGCAAGAACCTTGGTTTAACCCATGCAACCTAAGCTTCCCAACACACGAATCCTGGCACCAAATATCAGCATACGACTACCACCCTACCTCATGGGAAGACCGCCCTAGAGTAGTTTTATACATCTCTAAACTAATCCGCTCGACCCAAATCTCAGTCCTTCCAAGCTCTAATGACATAATACTTGCGGTAGACATCAAGATGCCCAACTCTCAAACACCCCAATTACGAATCTTATCTTGGTACAATCCCCCAGGATCAATGAGGGGATTGGCCTCACTAGAAAGGTGGCTTTGTAGCCACTATGACCGCCGCATCCCTACCGTACTCACGACGGACTCAAATCTACAACACCACTACTGGAACCCCCCAAACTACAACAAAACAGACGCTCAAGCGAAGAAGCTATTACACCTATGTGGTACCAAAGGATTGAAACTCGCCTCCCCTAGGGGCACCCCCACTAGATTCTCACCCAACACAAATCCCACTACCATCGACCTGATATGGACAAGCTGGAACCTCACGGAAAAAGTGGCTGGATGCAAAGTGGTGCAAGAAGAAAGCGCCTCGGATCACCTACCAGTAGCTATAATCCTCGATCTTCAACTCATTCCCCCTGTCCTTGAACATATCTCATTAAAACTTACTGACATAGACGTTGATTTGTTCCACAGTAAGATCCGCAATGGCCTATCCCTACTCCCACCAGTGTACTTGTCAAAAAATGATATTAACTCCGGTACTATTACACTTTCTAAACTCATTCTTGATTCAGCACAAGAACAAGGGAAAAAAGTCAAAACCAACCTAAGGAAGTACAAAAACTGGTGGGATAAGGAACAACTCGACCCGATCCTCAAGAACCGAAACCGAGCTCGAAGATGGATGATCAAATCAAACCTCCCTGAAGCCCACAAGTGCTATCAGGAATGGCAAGAATTTTTCAAATCCAAAGTTCTCACTGCCAAAGCAAATCACTGGAAAAATTTCTTAGCCAGCAGTTCAGGTAATACCACATTCAAAGCTTTCAAATATGCGAAACCCGTAGCGTCTGGGGAGGTGGCCCCTCTATTTCAACAAGACGGAACAGTAACGACCAACAAGAACACCCAAGCCGAGCTATTATTCTATGGTACATCTGTTGCCCATGTGGAGGCCGACTTGTCTGACATCCCGACCAATTGTCGCCTCCCTACCGACCCCCCCAGACTCCAACACCCAATATTGAATATCGACGAACTTAGGAGAATCGTGGACAAGTCCCCCAACAAGAAAGCCAACGGTGGCGATGAACTCTCGAACGAATTGATCAAACTTGCTCTCCCAGCGATTGAAGTAGCACTATGCAAATTATTCAACGCCTGCTTCGATTTCGGTTTCTTCCCGGATGCGTGGCGCTCAGCAGTTACCATCATCATCCGAAAGGGTGGTAAGGACAATTACTCTGAGCCTAACTCTTATAGACCAATCGCACTATTAAGTTGCTTAGGTAAAGTCTTGGAAAAGATAATCACGAGTAGGATGACTTACTGGGCTGAGAACTTTAAGGTAATCTCCCCCTGTCATATGGGTGGTAGACAACAACACAGTACAGACGACGCCTTAGTCATCTTGATGTCGTGGATAAAAGACAAATGGCGGAAGAACAAAGTGGTCACAGCTCTTTTCTTGGACGTCAAATCAGCATACCCGTCCGTACACCGCGAACAATTACTTCACATCCTCAGACAACACAACTGCCCTCTATACCTGATACATCTTATTCAAGGTTTCCTATCCGAAAGAACGACAAACCTCCGTCTCCAAGACTTTCTCTCAGAATCTTTCAGTATTGAAAATGGGTTGCCTCAAGGCTCCCCGCTTTCAGTGATCTTATATATAATCTACAATTCGGGCATCTTAG